ATCGGTGCGGGATGCTTTGGTTACAGCATAGAACGTAAACCACCAAACTCTAATCCTTAAAACAGTTAAACAATTAAAAACAATTAAAAACGCCTAATATGGAAACCTCAAAAATCAAAAACTGGATAATTATTTGTCTTATCGCCAGTGTCGCATTTCTAGCAACGTGTGAATTTTCTAAAAATGATAGCGCATCAAATCCAAGCAGTCAAGACACACTTTTTCTTTCACAATATAGACAGGAGAAAAAACAAAAGATTGAACTCATTGCCTCATATGAAAAAAGAGTTGATCGCTTACAAATCCAAAAGGATAGACTGCAAAAACTGGTTAAGGAAAGTTCACGCTCAATAAGTGTTTACAGGTTAAAAGCAAAGGTTTATTCAAAATCAATTCAAAGCAGCACTTGAACAAGCTTGCAAGCATTGATAGTTTACAGCCAGATACGCTTAGTCCAATCTTAGACAGCATGATTGTAAATCAGGCCTACAGTGATACGGCTTGTGATGATACGATAGACCTTTTGCAGATCACTGTTGCCAATCGGGACAGCGCATTATTCCTTCAAAAACAAATTGATGTAAATCTCAGGGACTTAAACAAAGAAGCTGAACTCAGAAATCAATTTCTGACAGATCAATTAAATACAGCCTACAAAGTCCAAAAGAAAAAGACAAGACAGAATAAACTACTGGCGGGTGGCCTTTTGATTTTATCTGGCATCACCACTTCCTTATTACTAATCCATTCAACAAAATGAACATGAAAGAGAAAACCCTTGTTTCCTGTTTCACCCTAATAGGCTCATTAACGCTTTACTACTATGGGAAGACACATGAGAGAGATGTGGTTCCCTATACAATGGTAGGAGGCTTTATTGGTGCATGGGTAGGTGAAATGATCGCAAAAGCAACAACGAAATAAATAAAATGGCACTGACAACAATCATAGCGGATTACGGCGGAAGTATCAGACTTAGCGTTGGCACATTGGTTAGAAATATTTCTAAGCTACAGATTGCCGAAGTTACGCTTGTAAAAACAAACCTTCTTAAAATTGATCTTGGAACCGGACCACTTGGAAACATCTATATTTCTTACTTCAGATGTCTTAAGTCCGGTAACAGCATCACCGGAGGCTTTAAGGGATGTAGTGCTTGCTATGCTGATTGCTGTATCAGGTGGTGGTGGAACTTCCACGGGAGATGCTACTCTGGCAAATCAGGTCGTTGAAATAAATCTGCTTAATACACTTGCTTCCAGTGTGGGGTCGATGAATGCCAATATTAATTCCATTTTTGAAAATAC